GCCCAGGGCCCTTTAGAGACCGTGGGCCCCTGGGCAGTTGCCCAATTGCCCATATGGTTAATCCGGCCTTGGCTGTGACGAAACTGTGCAGAACCACGTCACCATGCAGAGCCGTTAACCAATATGCAAATTAGCCTGCAGTACCACTGCTCCACCCATGTGCGCAGCAAAAAGACGTTTTTAGACCAAATATTACAGATTTGAACAAATACACACAAAAACATCAAAATTAGCTCAGAAACAGTACTATATAACATTTTAGACACATTCTAGACAGTTTATCAGCTAAAAAAAGTTAATTTTGGGGTAAGTTACTCTTTAAGTGTCAGGAGGACTGTGATCAGTTATACATGGGGAAACAAAACAGCCACTGTTCAAAAGAATGAGCCAGCACAGACGGGCTACGTCGTCGGGTCAGGACTCTGCAGTTTACACTCATCTATAGGCCAGCGGTCACACTTTCAGGGATGAAGATGTTCTCATCCTTGATAGAGAGGAACGTTGGTTTGAGAGAGGAGTAAAAGAAGCCATCTTTGTRAAGAAAAACCGTCCACCATTAAACAGAGGTGGAGGCCTTCGTGTCCAGTTGTCCTCCTCCTACAACGCTGTTATTGCAAGTATGACTCAGCCCCCTGTGAGCAAAAGGTGTGAATCAGGGCCCCAATGATACCCAACACAAAGAGGGAAAGAGACACAAAAACAAGGGGACGTTGAACCCCGCTTGCACTCACTACATACAGATAACACAACACCTAAAAACCACAGCATCCAAACCAATAAGTCAGGTGATGGGGCACATGACCCTCTATGAACAATAGAACTAATCAAGCCTATTGTTAAGCGATGGCTAGTGCTGAGCGGTATACCGTTTTGTACCGAATACCGGTTTTTATTTTTGTTATGATATGAATTTTCTGAATACCGGACATTCTGGTTTAAATAGCGGAACGTTTCATCGCGGCCGCCAGTGAACTGTTGTTTCACGGGGGACATTTTTCCTTGCTGCACCGCTATCTGCGTTAGCATGCTAATGTTTGGAGCAGCTAGTTGCAGCAGCGGGTGGTGATTCTGCTGCTTATATTGACTGACGTTTAAAAAACATCCCGTTTTCGCCATCGCTGAATGTAGTAAACACCTCTTCAGTGACGTGCACAGTTAGATTTAACGCGGTTAGTTAATATGGAGACGTTATGCTGAAGGAGACTTAACGTGGTTCTATTGTGAAAAGCCTGCAGGAAGTAGTTCGTAGTGGAGTTGGAATTGACTGGTGTGCAAGGTGAGTCGTGCTGATAAGCTTTAATAAATAATAAATAGACCCGGGGCTGAGCAGGAGGAGAGGAGAGCGGAAAAAGTTCACAAACTTATTTCTAGCGGCATAACAGGTTAAAAGATGGCTGTCTTATGTTGTTTGTTTTTTTTAATCATCCTATAGGCTCTGACGTGTTAGATAAATTTGAAAATCGGGTTTTTAAAATATCTGTAAGACTTGAAAAATCCGTGAGGTTGTTCTATACGCCCGTACACCTGCAAAATGATTTAAAATCCTTATAACTTACAATCTGTACAAGTTGACATGTATGAGCAGGGTTTGTACATTTTATTATCAGCTGAGCTGTGATGAAAAGAAAAATACCGTCAAATACCGTGAAAATGTTGAAAATACCATTATGTTAAATTTTGATCACATCGCCCAGCTCTAGCGATGGCCCTCTTTTGCATGTGACTAACCTGTTTGTCCATCATGTGGAGGCAGTGCTTATAAGGCTGAGTTTCACCTGAAACTCATCAGACTGAAGAAGTCTCTTGGAGGAGAGATGAAATGTTTCACTAAAGAAGAACCCATCCAGAGGACCTACTTATTTTTTCTTTTTGATTGGAACTAAGCAGTTTTACATTAAAGTCAGTGTGAATGTCTGATGAGACGATGGACTTGGTCTCTGTCATCCCTGAAATGGCAGGAAGTTCTGCAGGATTTGTTTAGCTTTTACACATTTTTTTTCTTTTTTTTACCCCTTTCAGATACATGTACTGGACGGACTGGGGAGAAGAGCCCAGGATAGAGCGTGCAGGCATGGACGGCAGTATCAGGTACTGCAAGTATACATGCACTCAGCCTGTTACAGTCACATAAATGTCAGGTACTGCACTCAAAAAATGAAATGTTGGATTTACTTAACCATGTTATGTCAGCTGGTTCCACTTAACTGAGTTGAGTAAATTCAAAGCAACATACTCATGTTATTTGGTTAAAAAAATGGTATATTGCTTTGAATTTACTCAACTCAGTTAAGTGGAAGCAGTTGACATAATATGGTGTAAATCCAACATTTCATTTTTTACAGTGTGTACACCTGGCTCTGTATCAGGGTAAATTAGGGATGCACTATTGTAAGCTACAGGTTTTGGTGCAGTGCTGTATGTGTGTGCTCAGGATTCGTAAAAAGTCTTGAAAGGCATTAAATTAATCATTTCAATGCAAAAACAATTAATTGTTCACCATCTCCTGGATGACAAAATCTAACCAGCACGTAGCCTAAAACACAGTCATACACTCAAACAGGTAAATCAGCAGCTTTATCACGATATATTGATTTGTTTGAATGACAATTTAATTTTTGTCATTATCACAAAGTCTGTCCTTTAAAAAGCATAAAAAATCTAATCATCAGTAACCCATGTATATTAATACCCACCCATTTTAAAGATGATTTTAAGGGTTAAATGTCTAGTATTATACATGAATAAATACAGTTTTTGCTCCAAATGCACCCTCAAGACTCACAGGTCACTTTTTTAAACATCAATGGAAAATCATCACATCTTCTTCACAATACTGAGTCAAGTTTGAGTCAACTCTTTCATCTGAAGCTCAATGAGATGCTGGCTTAAGGTTTTCTTAAGCCAAGATAAAAAACAAACCAAGCTTTGTTTAACTTGCTTTGTTGCACACCTCTCAGGCTGTTAGGCTGCACTGAACTTTAAATGTTATTTTCCGTATTTTGGATAAAGCATTTGCTGACATAAATGTACAGTAACATTAGTTTGAAATTAAAGCCCAGCGTTTTAAACGATATGAGCGAACCGAAGCTGTGTTTGCACGCTGAGTTTGTTTCCCTGTGTCTCCTGACAGGCAGGTGATCGTGAACGAGGACATCCACTGGCCCAACGGACTCACCATAGACCTGGTAGAAGAGAAGCTGTACTGGGCTGACGCCAAACTTAGCTTCATTCACAGAGCAAACCTGGACGGATCAGCACGGTACGGTCTGCTGAATGTGTGTAAACATATCCAGTGTTTTCAGATAACTGCTGGAAATAAAGGGTTTGTTAAAACCGTTCGTACTTTAATTTTATTGGGTTCAGACTTCAGCCGGTGCTAATTAGTACTCAAAGGTTAACTGGTGTTTGTGGGGTCTAAGTCTAAGAAGTAGTGGTTTTAAAGTCTTTAATTGGTTACTGTTTAGTCAGAGAAGAGTTTAGGCTCCAAGAATACCCAGACTGATCTACTGGCTTTTAAGAGGATGAGTCTCATTCAACATTTGAAAGGAATTAAAAGCCCAGCATTCCTTAAAAGAACACATATCATCACATCATGAAGAGTGAAGACAGATTTGTAGGCTTTTCAGTTTAATCTCAAAGTAATGCATGATATCATGTCATCTCGCAAACTTTTGTGAGAAGTTTTCGTGCTCTGAGAATGTGCTGTGAATGACTTTCAGATACTACTACATCAAACTCAGCTCAGTATTCATAAAACTGATGGAGGTAAAGCTGTTTTTATGTAGATAATGCAATTCTCTACTGCTGGCTTGTGGGCTTTTGCCTTTTGGGTAAAAAATATTTTAAAAATGAACTGATTGTTTTGTTTGTTATGTGACAGATGCTTGAATAGTTGATGAAATAATAATAATAATGTTAAATAATCAGTGGGTAGGTATTCAGCTAAAGCTACATATTTTGAGTCAGTAGTTGGACTTTAGTATTCCATGCTTGTGGGTGAATGTTCTGTCATCTCTGTTTTAAAAAGGTTGAAAAAACTAAAAAAATTGAAGCGTTTTAGTTAAATTTTTTAGCTGTTAAATACATTTTATTGTGTACTTGAGTCTCTAGGAGACAGAAACGTTGAACTTAGTCTCTCCTGGTTGCTGCAAACATGTCTTTATATTCTGTTTGGGTCAGATTTTTTTAATGTTGCGTTTTTTCTATTTTCTATGATGTTTCTTGAGTCGATTACATCAAATTATCTGCAACAGAGTTGCTAAATTAGGTCTGGACTTACCAACTACAGTTTCATCGTCTCATTGTCCTCTGGATCTGGGTCAGACTCTGGCTCATATAAGGCTGGATGGACAAGTCTTCTGTTGCTGACATCTTTTAATTTAATTGTAAATAAAACATTTCGGCAAGCTAGAAAATACACACACACACACACACACACACACACACACACACACACACACACACACACAC